GGTTGGCCACGCTGCTCTGTGTGGTTCGCCCCGAAACATTCACAAAGAGAAGTAGCTGCTAGCATGAACAAACTGTTGCTGCTGGCTCTGCGTTGTACGGTCAGTATGGTGCTTTATCGCAGTGCAATCCGTTCTGCTACAATTGTAGGTAATGGCGGCAGTAGCAAGCGTCTGTTACAGCAGTAGCAGCCATGCAGTTGAGCAGCATGTGCCTGGCGGCTGTTGTGCACTTGTGGATTGCCTGCTGTATTGCNGGGGATTCCGCCCCATACATGCGTGCGGCGTGAACGCAGCAGCTCCTGCTGTACCGCTACTAGAAACATGTACAGACCTACACACACAGCGACAGTTACACACAGCTCTGAGAGATACAACAGTGTGCACCAATCAGCAGCGGTAGCTGTGAATGTGTGTTCGATGAGGGTCATGTGTACATACAGCACCAGTGTGATTATCTCCTCTGCTCTGCTTTCTGTATGGTCATGACAGTCTCTCTTGTATGGTGGGTCACAGCAACACCAGTCTGTTGGATTCTGGGTCACACCAGTACGCGTTGCATGCTGGGTCACACCACCCGCGTAGTTTGCCTGGTCCATCGCACGTGAGTTTGCTTCATTATGCAAGGCACACGNCCCGTTTCTTTGTTTGTGAAATAGGTACTCTGCGTGGATGCTGGCCACTTGAAGGGCGACTGGAACGGTATGATGCTGGTCGCGACGGGCACGGACGCCGACACCAAGCTGGTGCACGTTGCGACCAGCATCTGCGACAAGGAGAACACCGACAACTACTCGTGGTTCTACAGGATGATGAAGAACGACGTCGACATGGCGGAGGTACTCAACAGCCCGAAGACCACCCTCTTCACGGACAAGCACAAGTCGCACGAACCTGCCATCACCCTTCACGCGCCCAACACTGTGTGGAGGTGGTGCCTTCGTCATCACATCAAAGCACTTCCCGAGGCCCCTGGACAGGTGAGAGGAGTTGTGACCCTGTGCCTCTGTTGGTGTAGGCACTTCGCACACAAGTGTAAAAGTGTATTCACCTGTACTCACACCCTTCTCTTTGTATTCGAAAGATGGAAGTACACACAAAGTGCAGGTTCCTCTGTCCTGTCTCTCGTCACAACAGAAGAGCCTGTCTGTCTTTGTCCCCCTGAATTCTTGCAACACCAAAAGCCCACCCACGACCGACATCTTGTGAAGTTCGCCTCGTATGTACTGCTCGGGCGGGTGTGCACGTTTATCTCCTGTGCATTTCAGCTGCAGTACATTGCTCGCCCCTTGCGGCTGCCTCTCGCCCGGGAAAGGACTACAACCTACCAACCCGACGTGCCTTTTTGTGTGTTTTCACCATGTATTAATTGCATCGACCGCACCAACCGGCTGACAAGATAGACGTCAGTCACAGAGCGTGTGTGTTCGTGCCGTTCCTCTCTCCCGGTAGCAAACAGCCTTAGGATGGGTTACACCCTCAAGTCTCTCCCCCTCATGACCACTTCGCAACCTTTATATCCATAACTGTATGTACGGCAGCAGCAGCAAAGTTAAGAGTTGATGAAACGATGCCTCTCTGTTTCGTGGGGCTGGGCGGTCGTCGAAAGTGATTTCCAAAATACGGTGCTATCTCATTCTGAGCATGGAGAGCAATTGCGATGGCACGGGGGAAATCCATAAATCTTGGGCACGAGTTTTGGAGGGTTTGGTTGACATTCGCGTGCAGATTCCTCTGCTTAAACCGGTGGGTGCGTGTGTTGTCAGACGAAAACCTTGGGTTGAAAAGGGGTACGAATGTGTACCACAACTTTTCATTGAGATGTGCCGAAGTCACGTGTAGCTGCTGTGCCAAGCATGCAACAGTGCACTTTGTAGTTGGAGTCTTGTAGTTGTATCCAATCTAAGCTTGTGTATCCTATTTGTGTTGAATGTGTAAGTGTTTTGACCTGATGTTGGGCATTACTTTGTGTTGGTTTCCACTCTTCCCAAAGTTGCAACACCCATACCGTATATTTCCTGCGACGATCTAGCAGGCCCGTAGCTTTTCGCTCAAAACAGAATGCGTGTCCTGACATCCTGTTCTTCTCCCGACTTTTCATGTGCTCTCGTTTGCCTCGGTAGACTGTGACCCACTGGCTCTACCACGCAGCCAGGGCGCCAACCCGCACCAAGTTCATGGACACCAAGGTCAAGCCAACGAAGCCGAAAGCCTACGCCGCTCTATTGGACCCGAACAAACCCCACGAACTTGTCAAGTGGACGCACCACGCTGGACCCACCGACACAGCCATCGGGGGTGTCGTGTCGTCCAACGCGGCCGAGCAAAACATGGTTATGGTAGGCCTGCAGGTAAGGGTTGATTGTTCGTAGGGGTTGGACGGGTGTCCTAACAGCTGTTTTAGCGTTTGTTCGACCAACGTCCCAAGTGACGGCTGTCGAAATATGTCCTCGGCGAACGCAGTTAGAGACAACTTGATTCTTTCTACTCTTGGCGAGTCGAGCGTGCTTTAGTGTGGCCTCATCACCCCATCGTGTTGAGTAGTATTTTCACTTGGTGGCGAGCACGCGGACCGAATCTTCGACAGCGTGGTTGTTTCAAGAGTGACGTTGAGAAATGGTGAGGGCGAGTGATGTTGAGGAATGGTGAGGGCGAGAGACGTTGACGGGGCGGCGGACGTGGTACTAACTCTCCCTTAGGTCGACGGCGTGCCGACCTTTGTAGGTCATGGTAGGTCGACCTTCTCAAGACGCAGGGTGCGGCGGCTTTCGCCCTTCGTGTCAAAATGTCTTCACACATTAGTACTGCTCTCATTCACCATAAGAAGTGCGCACGTCTTGTACAGGCCACCAAGCAAGCACGACAGGGAAGACGTCGTGCTTGAGGACGTCAAGAATCGGGAATGATGTCAGCAGCCAAAACGAGTCAAGATATCTGCTCTCGTCACCAAGGTCCTAACAGTGTCGCCGTTACTTCATTCACAGGGGAGGAAGTTGCCGCCCTACATATGGCCCAGCACATCCTGGACAAGACCGCCTCCCGGATGGCAGAAAGGGCTGAACTCGTCAACAGCGCCTCGCAGAGGTTTACCCCTTTCGCCGCTAAGGAGTTCGAGGCTCAGCGCGCGAAGTCCAGCAAGTAAGTGGTACAGACCATCGCCTGCGTCTGGCGAGGAGACGGCTTGTGCTACCGTTCTCCACGAGGCATTTGGCTAAGCGTTTCGGGACAAAGTCAGTCTGCATCAAGACGTTTTAAGTGGCTTCATTGATATGTGTCCCGTAAAAGGCGGCGAGATGACACGTGCAATCGTTGTTTGACACATTTTTTTCGCTTTTTTGGCACCCCGGCGCCATCTCTTCGCCCCCGGTGCGTAAATTCCACAAAGGGCCTTCCACAAATCCATGATATCGCTGAGGTTTTTTGAGGCACCCCGGTGCGATGTCAAAGGCCGGTGCTATCTCCAGTAACATACCCATGAGGCCCTGTTGCGCACACACGCCAGCAGCAGTAGTTTCGGGTTGTATGCATATGTTGTGTGCTTGGGTGAGTATCCGGTTGGGAACTTCCATTCAATTCAAAAGCGAAAACAAATCCGTCAAGTTTTTCAGCTTCGCTGACACGGTCCCCACATGTTCCACATGTAAGTTACCATATATACTTGTGCCTCTTCCCGGCAGCTCGAAAAGACGTCAATCCTGGGTTTGGAGTTAGGAGATTTCTCCGAAGCCGGTGCAAAAATCTAATACAATCATACCGTTCTTGTTTCTTCACCTTCGTTTGGTTGTTGGCGTTGTTTGTTGTGGGTACCGGGTTATAGCCTCTCTGACCGTTGCCATCTCTCCGCCGATTTATGTTTTGTTAACGCTGGGGTTGACGTGTCTGCCTTCTACGGCAACTATACAACAACCTAATTTCGTCCTTTGCTGTCCATCCCACGACTCGCGCCCGTCTTCGTATCACAGCCTGCACTCCAGCGCCACCGGGAACGGCAACTTCACTGTTCGCAAACTAGGCAGCAACTACGGCAACCGAGTGGGGCTGGAGTTCGGGACAGATGGCGTGGTGACTCGCATGACCTGCACGTGCGGCTACACGACTCGATTCAAGATCCCGTGCTGCGATATCATCGCCGTCGGGCGAGGTGAGCAGTGACAGTTCCGGCATTCGTATCAGTGTGGCGCAGCCCGGTCTGACCGGCGAAAAGAGGTGCAGTGTTGCTGAGTCAAATGTTGCCACAGCCCGCAGGGGCCCGCCGTCCCGCTCATCCCGCCGTGAAAGTTGGGAGACGCGTTGGAGCTTATTTTCCAGGAAGCACGAACGGGTGATAGACGCTGTCCTGGAACACTAGGATTGCGTTCAGTCAATGCTTTTCGTCGGGACTGCGTTGGCGGACAACTTGAAAGAAAGAAATATCCCGCCATGTCGATGCCTCGCATGACACTCATGTATGTGCCTTTTCCTCCACCGCCCGGCCCTGCCCTTTTTTTTGTCAATGACGCAGCGCAGCGTTGGACAAGTCCGACGAGGTCATGTCAAGCATCGACCCGGCCTACCACCTCGACACCTACCGAGCCCTGTACGCGGAAAGCCGGTTCGAGGTGCACCTGCCCGTGCCGGATGAGCTGGCTGTTGACGTGGACATTCTTCCTCCGGTCTGGGTGCCCAACCAGGCTGGTCGCCCCAAGAAAAAGGGACCCTCGAGGACGAAGAGGATCCCATTCAGGGGAGAGCACGCTCCGTCGTCCTCCTACAACGTCCGCCTGATGCCCGCCCTGTCTGAGGGCGCGCCTGCATCGTCGCAGGGAGCGCCCGCATCGTCGCAGGGAGCGCCCGCATCATCGCAGGGAGCTCCCGTATCATCGCAGGGAGCTCCCGCCCTGTCGCAGGGCGGCGTGCATTCTGGTGTTATCTCCGTTGACTAGATGGGTAACAAGTACCTCGCGTTTCGTGGCCTCGGAGTTTGCTGTTTTCGACCACCATTGTCCGTTGTGCTGTCGCTCTTGCTGTGTCTTCTTGAAGTTCCTCGGTAATGTTTCCTCGTGTTGTGATTTTACGGAGGGATGAGCCGGTGAAGTGGCTGAGCAGCGGCGGTACTGGCCTGGCATGGCATGTCCTGGCCCGCCTTGTTTGGGTAGAGAAATTCCGGGCATGAATCTCACGCGAGTTGTCGCAGGATGGTGTCGGGCTGTTGATTTTTGACTGTTGGGTGTGCG